CGACACTTTTTTTTTTTTTAGATCTTTTCCTGGTCCAAGCTTCATCATCTATTCAATGCTTTTCATTCGCAGTATCGTAATCCTTTCGGAATGGAAAAGCCTAACATAGCTATTGAAATAGTCAATAGAGCTATCAGAAGAGGATGCTGTGTGATAAAGGGATTACTAATAAAGGTTAATTAACATTTTTAACAGCTGCCTTAGATTAAACGTGTCATAAATAATGGAAAATTAAAAATATTTCTATATATCCCCATTTTGATAAGTTACAGTATTTCATGTAAAAAATGTAATATCTAAACCATTATACTTCCAATAAAAAAATCATGTCGGATAACAAGCTGTAAACTTTTGTTTCTTACCGTCAATGTAGGTTTGCTATTAAAGACATAATCTGCCATTACAACACTAACACCAAGGATAAGGCCAATACCAGCACCCAGCCAAGGAATTTGCTGGTCCGCTAAAAGAATGAGAAAAAGTATTTATATTTATATTTACGTCTCTATTCTGAGAATCATGAATCTCAGTAAAGTTCAGTGAAGCACGTAATGGTCACTAGCAACTAGGGAATGTCAATTTTGTACCTCGTCTATCCTTGAAAAGTTCTCTTGATACTGTACACACGACATCTTCTATGCCATCAAAATAATCTATTGAACTCTGTATTTTGCAATAGGAATCGATTGTTTCGGAGAATTGGAAGGTTTCAAACTTAATTCTAGCTTTTAGCTCATATCCCTGAGAACAAAAATAATTCTATATTAGTGCTGATCAATAAAGACAGGATTTTAAAATAAATAATATTCATAATCAAAGAAAATAATAATTTGAAAACGCATGAAATGATGAATTCGTACATTAATTTACTAATTTCAATTCGAATTCATCTTAGATATGTCTGAATATAATAATATTTCAACATTTAGCAATTTAAGATAATGTTACGTTACTAGGGAATAGTCCGGTCACATTTTGATAAGCATGAGAGCATCCTGCATAGCAAGGTAAAATTGCCCTACACTTATGAAAGCGTGGCATCTACTGCTAATGAGTAAAAAGTTTTTTGGATCCAACTTGATTGCGATTATGTCTTGAATTTTATTTTCCAATTTCTTTGTGCCTGAAAAAAAGGTAATTTAGCAGATATTATGACAATATAAACCAAGCATAATAGCTTTATTGAGTTAAATTTATCAGTGTTTTCATATCAACATATGCTCAACTAAAAATTATATGGAAAATCTTTCTTGTGAAAAGGAATGTATTATGCAAGTAACATACTATAAAGTAGATTTCGTCTGTACATCCTTTGGTTAAGAAATTGCCATGGGTGATATCTTATATCAAATAAAAGTTCATTGAACGTTTTTCTGGCGTTAGATTTTTGTAATATTTATATTTAAATCTAAATCCCGCTATTCTTATGCCACAAGAGGGCAATAAAGGTGCTAATGACAGCGATATAGTTGACAGCGTGCCATAAACCGATTCTAATTAACTATTTCTATTACAGCTTCACGGTAAAAAAATACGCATTCGTGTCTAATCAAGTATTCAATACTAAAAAAACCTCCACAGCTGTAAAATTCAAAAACTTTGCAGCGGTATATGACATATCAATGGAAGCTTTGCAGCGGCCAACTTACCACGGCTTTACGGTCTGTTACCACCATCTTACCGAGTCCGGAATCAATGTGCGAAGTATTATTATCTGATAACTCGTTTTATAATTTTCATTTTCAACACTACATTTTACAGGTAGTTCCAAGAATGCCGCGGTTAGCAGTTTCTCGAACGCGGCTGTCAACAAAGCAGTCAATGAATTCAGGAATCCCTATAGTGGTCTAGAAGGGTAGGTACATTGACGCTCAAGTATTAGTATGTTAGCCAACGGATGGCGGCGCTGTAATCACTTCTCCATCCCTCTTAAAGCCCGTGTCCACGATCAAAGAACTCTGTCAAAGTGTTTTGTTAAACCTTTTCTTTCTCTTCAACTCCTTAAAATGGTACTGCTACACGTCGTGAAGTTATGATGTTGCCACATAATTTAGCTAATCCTTTTTTCTGATAAAAATGAAATCAGTCTGAAATTTTTTGTCCGCCATTTTGAATTTTGAAATTATACTATTTGACTTGGCTTCAGCGATATCAAAAACATCAAGATACCTTTTTTCTATAAAAATCCAATCATTTTAAAGCTGGGATGGGTATAGTTCCTTCTCGTTCCGCGCGTGACGGTGTCGCAGTTGGCCGCCAAAAATTATATCTATCATGTCTATACGAAAAAGCAGTCTGTGGCTGGGGCGACGACAATGGTGTTAATACTTTGACGGCCGCACCTTTGATAAGAAGCTTTGCACTTGTCGCCGGTATATATTGATGAAAACTACTGCCTGCCGCGGGCACCTTTTACAAGCTTTATTAAAAGTAATCAATGAGGCAGACATAATTATTATTTAAAAAGTTCAAATCCTGTTATCTATCTGCCGATCTAGATAGACGATTTTGTTCTGAATGGGCTTGTTTTGTAGATAAAAATCTAAACAATACACTGAAAAAGTCTGAAGAAAATGGTAAGAAAAGTGCATTTATGGAAGTAATACCTTAATCCCTTTAAATGAAGTCTTTTAATGTTTAAGAAATTTTAGAAAAAGCCCGAGACAATGAAATTAGATCCAACAAATGACAATGCGAATATTTATTTTCCGAGATAAGCAATAAAAACAAATATTACAATAAATAAATGCGAACTGATAACCGTGAATCAAGCGAAGCCACAAGATTCAGGCTAACAATGGCCAGAAATTTGTTACATAAACGTGATACCAGCCGACACCGCTAGCAAATTGAAGTCACATAAATGTGACTCCGGCTGTCAAAGCATTAACAGAACCACGATTCTGAGAGTGCTAAAAACCTTTAAGATGTTGTATCCTCACGTAGGTACTAGCGATCGAAGTCGGGTAAATTTTAAAAAGTTCCTGACTTTTTGCTCGATTTTTTTTAGCTGAGCAGACGTTCATTTCTTTTTCTATAGTAATGGAGACAGTAGATTCCCATTTCCCACACTCCTGAAATCTCGACCCTTGGCGTATAGAACTCTGTAGCGTCTCGCTCGAGCTCAAGCGCGCGTTTCTCTCAGTACGCGATGCTGTGGGTTTCTTGCTCAAAAATGTATTTGGCTCGAAACTCTACCAAGTTTCTTGATACCAATGTTACAAAATAGATTGTGCCGATAACAATTGCCAAGGGGCTGCATCTGCTAACAGCATATTACAGGCAAATTTTCAAATCGCCTATAAACACTAACAGTAATAATAGGGTTAATGATAATTACCTGTAAGTTCAAAACTTGCGCCCCCAAGCAATAAATGTTTCGCGTTGCATACGATGATGATGTCGCGCAGATCCGTGGCATCCTTTGACGGGGCGAAATAAGTCGCAGTGCGTCTGCGTAAAAATCCATCTAGCGAGTCATCCGTCGATGCGCTGCGCCTCGTCTCTAATATGCGATGGTCCATATAAAATCTATGAAATCGATTCCGTGCGGATTTCATAGATTTTATATACATTATGGCATATTGTGACGGTATATTGTGATGCGCTGCGGCTCGCCTTGGTTTTAACGTGCGCGAGCCTTTATACAACAGCGGCTCGTGACTTTTCGGTAAGGTGGTGCCAAAATCTAAAAGTCTTAAGGCAAACTTAAAAGATGGATTGTCTTGTTCATTCTGTGAAATGCTTCGGCACCGTAATATACAGTTTATAACAATGTAAACGTGACACACATCTACCTCGATTTCTGTCTTACGCTATTTGATCTCACCGGCAATTTACGAACTCGCCGATGTAGTGGATTAGATCCGATACAATATTAGAAGCGCCATCTTGGCATGATCCCCTCCCCGGTATCAACATATTATATAAGCCCATGTTCTGGTGCAAGATCGACCGTCGTTTTGTTACTGGCATTTATTGTTTATTGCATGCCTAGTAAATATATACTACTTAGGCTTCGTTTAGGTCTTAAAATTACAAAGTAAGTAACCGCAGCTATTTTAAGAAGTAATTTAACCGTTTTAGTGCCGGACAACGATATATCGTCGTTTTACAAGTGTTAACGACTTCGGCCGGTACTAAAAGGGTTAAATGGCTATTTTTTTATGATAGGCCCATGGATCCTTGTCCCCTTACAGGGAGCCGACCCTGGGTTAATATACGGTGAAATGAATTGAAAATATTGTTTAACAAGCTAAATTATGCAACAGCGTTATAACTTCACGACGTGTAGTAGTACCATTTTAAGGGATTGAAGAGAAAGAAAAAGGTTTAACAAAACACTCTGACAGAGTTCTTTGATCGTGGACACGGGCTTTAAGAGGGATGGAGAAGTGATTACAGCGCCGCCATCCGTTAGCTAACATACTAATACTTGAGCATCAATGTACCTACCCTTCTAGACTACTATAGGGATTCCTGAATTCATTGACTGCTTTGTTGACAGCCGCGCTCAAGAAACTGCTAACCGCGGCATTCTTGGAACTACCTGTAAAATGTAGTGTTGAAAATGAAAATTATAAAACGAGTTATCAGATAATAATACTTCGCCATTGATTCCGGACTCGGTAAGATGGTGGTAACAGACCGTAAAGCCGTGGTAAGTTGGCCGCTGCAAAGCTTCCATTGATATGTCATATACCGCTGCAAAGTTTTTGAATTTTACAGCTGTGGAGGTTTTTTTAGTATTGAATACTTGATTAGACACGAATGCGTATTTTTTTACCGTGAAGCTGTAATAGAAATAGTTAATTAGAATCGGTTTATGGCACGCTGTAAACTATATCGCTGTCATTAGCACCTTTATTGCCCTCTTGTGGCATAAGAATAGCGGGATTTAGATATAAATATAAATATTATAAAAATCCAACGCCAGAAAAACGTTCAATACATTTTTATTTTACATAAGATATTGCCCATGGCAATTTCTTAACCGAAGGATGTACAGACGAAATCTACTTTATAGTACGTTACTTGTATAATACATTCTCATTTGCAATAAATATTTCTCATATCTTTTTTAGCTGAGCATATGTTGATATGAAAACACTGATAAATTTAACTCAATAAAGCTATTATGCTTGGTTTATATTGTCATAATATCTGCTAAATTACCTTTTTTTCAGGCACAAAGAAATTGGAAAATAAAATTCAAGACATAATCGCAATCAAGTTGGATCCAAAAAACTTTTTACTCATTAGCAGTAGATGCCACGCTTTCATAAGTGTAGGGCAATTTTACCTTGCTATGCAGGATGCTCTCATGCTTATCAAAATGTGACCGGACTATTCCCTAGTAACGTAACATTATCTTAAATTGCTAAATGTTGAAATATTATTATATTCAGACATATCTAAGATGAATTCGAATTGAAATTAGTAAATTAATGTACGAATTCATCATTTCATGCGTTTTCAAATTATTATTTTCTTTGATTATGAATATTATTTATTTTAAAATCCTGTCTTTATTGATCAGCACTAATATAGAATTATTTTTGTTCTCAGGGATATGAGCTAAAAGCTAGAATTAAGTTTGAAACCTTCCAATTCTCCGAAACAATCGATTCCTATTGCAAAGTACAGAGTTTCGAATATCATAGCGACATAAGAGATGCCATATGTACAGCTACCAGAGAACTTTTCAAGGATAGACGAGGTGCAAAATTGACATTCCCTACTTGCTAGTGACCATTACATGCTTCAGTGAACTTTACTGAGATTCATGATTCTCGGAATAGAGAAGTAATGCAGCCTTTTCCTCATTCTTTCAGCGGACCAGCAAATTCCTTGATTGGGTGCTGGTATTGGCATTATCCTTGGCGTTAGTGTTGTAATGGAAAATTATGTCTTTAGTAGCAAACCTACATTAACGGTAAGAAACAAAAGTTTACAGCTTGTTATCCGATGTGATTTTTTTATTGGAAGTATAATGGTTTAGATATTAAATTTTTTGCATGAAATACTGTAACTTATCAAAATGGGGATATATAGAAATATTTTTAATTTTCCATTATTTATGACACGTTTAATCTAAGGTGGCTGTGGAAAATGTTAATTAACCTTTATTAGTAATCCTTTTATCACACAGCATCCTCTTCTGATGGCTCTATTGACTATTTCAATAGCAATGTTAGGCTTTTCCATTGCGAAAGGATTCCGATACTTTGTAAAATGTCAAAGAAAAGCATTAATGAAACCTGTACCAGAAATAGAGATAGAAAGATTAATTAATGAAAATTATGACGAAGCTGTGAATGAATACCATGGGATAGATGATGAACCTCGGACCAGGAAAAGATCGAAAAAGAAAACTTGTCGTCGAGAAATATGGCTACGTTGTTAGACGAGACCTAGAATTTATTTTGTAAGTACACCGGCAGGTTTGAATGCTGTCCCTACGGATTGGTGTCGCCAGTGGTGAGTTACGGTACTAACGGCCGTAGCAGTGGCAAGTTTAAATTGCAACGAACGATATGATTGTTTACGAAAAATCGGTCGTCTGCAAATAAAGCTATTATGGTAAATATAATAAAAGTGAATTTTTCCCAAAATCCCAAGTCAAGACATTTAAATTACGTGTTCAATTGCGAAGGTACAACGGTTCATAAACTTTCTAGTGATTCCGTTAGTAGACTACTAAAAAGCACAATCAATTTTAATTTTAAAATGAATCGGTTAAATACTCATTCAGTTAAATAACGTAAAATTTCCATTACTTCCACTCGCGGAGATGGAAACTAATGTATGTATATACATTCTGTTTTATGACGCATATTTCTTAGCGGTTGAGTAACGAAATGAAAATGTAAAGAATCCTACTATATAAATTTTAACGAGAGTTATAATTCTGTTGGTTTCTTTTCACGAACAAATGTTCATGATGGCATGATGCACGAACGAATTTTCGTAACAATTGCCGTAAAGGACTGAGATATTTGAACGTCGAAAATGTCCAAAATGACGACTATATTAATGTGTTTAACCTTAGAACTACCGGTGGATTTTTTTTTTTATAGGATGGGCCATTTAAGACGAGTCATTTCGACTGGTCTTGGTAGTTCTAGTGTTAAGGGGATAAGATATGGAAGTAGGTGTTAGCCTCTCGAAAAATAAGCCTTGATAAGCCATAACAAGCGTCCTCATCGACGTGTTTAATCAGTGTCTCGCTGATAAAAACTAAAGCGATTTCCTAAAAAAAAAAAATAATAATAATACTGCCGTAGGTTTTTAAGGGATTAAACAAGAAGGAAAGAAAACATTTCGTCTCATTTCTATATCCAAAACGTTCTTACGTACAAACTGTCCCACCTAACTTGAACATCTTAAGGTGAAGTGAAACACGTCGAGGAACTTGATCGACGTCGATAAAGAAGATTATTATAAATGCCTACGTCGCCGACGTTCATTTTTATATTGACAGCTGTGTCGAATTATGTTGGATATTGTACCAAAAGGCATACTCCACCTGTCGTTTTCGTACAATAATTATAAAGAAATCGAAGTAAAACTCCAGAAATCCTCTGGATTCATGCCTCCTGGGGCCTTAATTGACTGCGGAGGGACCCTCTGCGCCATCTGTGATTTTCAGGTCAATTAAATTTTCACTCCGAGACCTCGTATTCCCATCGTTTTAGCAAAGAAGCGCATACAACACTTTTTTTGCCTTTATCCCGTTCAAATGCGAGTTTATCGATTACCAGTGTTCTAAATTGTCGTAAAATTGTCCTGACCCTTTCGATTCTCATATTAGAGCCTTCGATAATTGTATATCCATTGAAATATGAGGGCTCGACGCCATTTTGGTTCTGGTCTGGACTGAGTTAAAAAATTTTGTTAAAAAATCCAAATTCTGAATGTGTCAGGACAATTCTTAGATGATCAGGAGTGATGTGTCAAAGTTTCGGACAGTTTGGTCCAATATCCTTAAAAAAAAGTGTTGTATTCGAATCGACTGATTTGAAGGATGTTTCACTTCACCTTAAGGGTTAGTTTTGTAAATGCTTAGTTGCGTAGTTGGTACTGGAGACTCCCGGCGATCCCGGCGACGGACAGCCGTACCCCACCGAGACCGCCGGGCGGATCCCTTTGAGAGGGTTTCACTTCACCTTAATCCTAGAAGAAACTGACCATAACTTATTAACACGTTAAGGACCACTCACCAGTTTTCTCGTGTTTCGCGCTCCATCTGTTACGGACCGCTCACGAGTTGCCCGTGCGGTCCTGGGCGTATGTCTTATAGATTCCTTAGCGGTCCTTAACCCTTTCGTTACCTTGGGCGAGATATCTCGCGACCCAATACTGGCCGATTAACGCTTTTGACGAGATATCTCGCGACCCGATACTGGCCGATCAACGCTTTTGACGAGATATCTCGCGACTCGGTAGTAGCTGTATTTATTTGTTCCTTTTAGCTATACGAATTGAATTAGTTATAAAATATATTCATCTAGAATGTCAAAATATTGGTACTAGAAAGCTTGATTATCGTCAAAAGCGTTAATCCGCTACTACCGGATCGCGAGATATCTCGTCAAAAGCGTTGATCGGCCAGTATCGGGTCGCGAGATATCTCGTCAAACGCGTTAATCGACCAGTATTGGGTCGCGAGATATCTCGTCCAAGGTAACGAAAGGGTTAATGTGTTAAAGAGTGAAGGAGAGCGAATGAAGACCCCCACCCTTTTCGTCACGTGGTGCGAGCACGTGGAGAGGCTCAGAGAGTGACAATCTAGACTGGAGAGCGAATGCGTGGGAGAAACCAGAGATTCGCGAGCCCTATAGGCGCGGGTTCTTCGGAGCGGCGAGGTAAATCCTTTTCCAACACTCGAACCCATTCTTGGTCGCTTGGATTACCTGCATTTCATCCATCTGGTCCATGGACCTAAGAATATGGACGGAACCCGAAGTCCCATCTTAGACCAGAGGAGCAAGCCTGTGCGTAAGAAAGGGAGAGGTAGGACAGCCATATTATTGTTTCATCTTTCAGCCTCCTAATTGGTCACCTGTATCATTTTTCCTGTTTGCTCTAACTTATTTCTTTTTGCCATTCCCGCACGTAAAATATAATTTTTAACCTTCTTTATGCTTCAAGTGGCATATTATATCATCACTGTTTATCATCCACTGTTTATCCGTTCTTTCCTCGCTACTCTTAAAGTAACAACTTGCTTGAGAGCGGAAAAAAATGTTTTCAATATTTTATAACGTTCCATGAAAAATGTTATAAATTCAGCACACAAGTTGTAAGGCCCATTTAAAGCCTGCTTCAATATAAATAAGGAAGAAGATTAGAAAGAAATATAAATTACTCAATAATTATAACAACAAGAACGACAATAATAATAAATAACTTAACTTTTTCGCCACGGTACTTTTTTTCTATTCGTTACTATGCAGTTACGACGCCGTTAATGTTAACCAGTCAAAACACCGTCGGTGTACAACAAATTTAGCCAAATACATTTATCTTTATTCAATTAATTGCAAAAATAGCTCAATTGCTCCCATCCAATGAAAAGCTCAAATCAGCTATTTTTGCCAAATATAGTAGAACATTCCATGAAAATCTTAGGTAAAATCTTTTTGTCAAATGTCACAGTACATTTCAGGTTTCACGTATGTCGTATGTATAAGATTTTCGAGTGAGAATGTAACAATGTATTGTTGCTTCCAAGTAATATAACTGCTACAAACTATGTTTAGTGGGTTTCATTAAGTTCTGTATAGCACGATATTTTGCACTTTCATATATTAATATATTTGTTTATCTAATTGTGGAAAAAATATGTATGCTTAGATTCCGTTCGTATTGCTTTCCATGTTCGGAAATAAAGGTAATGAAAATTATACGTCACCTAATTTAATAAGTATTAAACTGGCAAAGGATTAATTAATCTTTTGAACATGCAGCTACTATTTATACTTTAATTCAAAGAATTTACGAACCGAATCACGAAGATGTCCATGAACTTTTGCAAGTTCATACCTTCAACATATAATTTAAACGTTTTGGCCTGCGATTGAGAAAAAATCACATTGCAGAATGCATTTTTATTATTCATTCCAAAATAGCTTCATTTACACGTATCTGATTCTTGGTGAACGGTCAATGACTACATTTTTACGAATCAAATTGTTCGTTGCAATTCAAATTTCACGCTGCTGTGGCCGTTAGTACCGAACTTTGACCACTGGCAGTATACGCAAGAAAGACATTGAAGATTATCAGTATACTATCTATTCAAGTCATTCATTGTCCACAATACATGATCTTTGCATTTTTCATTTTTTACCCAACAGGCTAATTTTACTCTTTCACTATATGTATGAATTAATTACTACGTTCTGTTGAAAAATATAAAGGAACCAGCTTTTAAATCACGAGAAAGTAATGCCATATTATTCAGATAGTATTTAATGACATTGCAACGGCGATTAATATTCATTTGCGAATCAACATTTGATTGTAATTGATGCTCAAAAACCGATTTTGTTTAACTATATTATAATCGGACCAATTTTTAATTTGTTACTGCAAGTTATAAACAAAAATGAAAAGGTTCCAATCAATTTTTAAATTACCAAGAATGAATTTGTACTCTATTTCTTTCTAGCATTTTGTTGAGTACAACCTTACTTAGGTTGTTTAGACCTGGAATAATATTTGCACTATGTTGCAATCTGTACACTATGCATAGATGACGTTAAAAACACTTCTTTTTTTACCTTTATGACGTAGTTTAACATGATTAACATTTGCATTCATCATTTCCTAGATTCCTTCTCTGTTATTATATTACCATTACGTAAACTATGTTAACAGTGAAAAACTGAACAGAGCTCAAGTCACAAGACTTTGATGTAATCCACTAAAGATGAAGACATTCGCATTAACATAAGGACAAAAGAAAATTATTTCTAAAGTACATAGCCAAATTCTAGCCCACTATTCCCTGTTAGTTTCTTATCACATATCTAAGATCAAAATATAGAATTTTCATCAATTTTAAACATTTCTGATGATACATTGTTATTTGTTCAATTTCAGAAGAGTATGCAGACCTAAAGAATACTTTAAAACTACATTCTAAGATATACACGTGCTTTTTCATTTACACCCTTGCATCTTATAACTATTAACTACTACTATTTTTGGGACCAGTCTAATAGTTGATACATCAAAGTCTCATGGAATATTATCTCGATTCTTACTATAGTCATTCTATTTCTATATTTAGTTCAATGATAACTACTAATATATAGTTGGAGGTTTCTTCTCGCAACATATCGACCTAATGCTGATCAACGACAAAGTAAATCAATTGGATAAATTAATTACATAATTACTACATATTTAATGCATATATTTGCATCTGTTTATACTTGCTTACGGTTGCTTGAAAATTAATTTAAAAAATGCATCAAGAAACTGTTCATATGACATGACATTAATTCATTAATTACCGACCACTTTGTAGAGTTAAAAACTCCTTAAATTATAGCCTTTCTATTTATGTTCTCGCTGCAATACTTGACTGCTTTTTCTTGAAATGTATATTGCCCGCAGTGATGTTTACGTTAATAGAAATTGCAAGAAGAAAATATTTATCGATATCTTGTTTAATCAGTTTGAAATGCATAAGACATCACTGGGAAATGGGTAAGAAATGAATGCTGGCTCTGTATGCATTGTTTTACATCATAACCATTATTTTCCTATTTAATCCTGCATTTACATTCCCATATGATGCATTTTGGAACTACTTAAAACATAGATTACAAGTTAACGTATGAGACAATCATGAATTATTTATTGCCGAAATCTCCTTTTTGTCTTTTTATAAAATGATTATTATCCCCAGGAAGGGAAGACTGAAAAATCGCAATTTATACCCTACCATGTAATATATCTTATTTTTAATAGAATTATAATAAAATTATCAAGCAAACATATCCTTTATCAATTTCCCGTTAAAATCACATATGTCATGTTTTCACTTCGAAATAGGATCATTAAACGTAACATCACGGAGTACAGAATCAAGAATTTTTAATTAAATTTTCAAGTACTGGGGCGTGCGATATATTTCAATTACGTCAGCGCGCCGAAGTTCAGTTACTTAGTAATTTGAAAATCTTTCTTCGCTCTCTCGAGCGAGACCGTGTTGGCATAAGTTTGAACCTTTGAATTTTTAACGGTTCAACGACTCGGTGACCGAGTTCGCTTCTCTAGGGAGCTGCGGTCGCAAGCGCGATAGCGCTCAACTTTACGCTCACTTTCAGGCCTAATTAGCCGCGACAAAAGGGAACAGAATCCTAACCTCTGGCAACCTCCTGACGGTCCATTGGTCTTTCGCTATCTTAAGAGGTCGAGTTTCTCGTCCCCGTTATACCTGCCAGGGTATCGTCGCTAAGCTGACAAATCGCGAAACATTAGAATTGGTTATGATTTTCTCCTGCAGGAGCGTTAAATCCGGGAGGAGGAGGTATAACAAAGTGCGTTCTTGCCACGCGTGCAAGAGACAAAAAGAGTGAGGAAACGAAGTGCGGTTTGGATACTTAGAGAAAGGAGGCCAAGAATAACTAAATGCTGATTAAACTCCCAGGAACATCGCTCCGAGCCACGCGCTTATGGAGGTTATGTTATCAGGAATTAAGTCCCCTTCGAATTCTTTGGCCTGTCTATAGGAGCTGAAACACGCCTCGGGGTTTAAAAGAAATATTCATTACAGGATTTTAAATTCTTCAGTTGATTTATACGATTCAACGAAAATTGACTATTAGAGCGGCGGATGCGCGCACTCTAAGGGGTTATGTCGTCGCGCACAGACGTCGAGAACGATACGACTTTGCACAGAGGCGAATCGCCAGCACGTAATGTTACCAGGGGACAGAGAGGTTACGTTACTTTTAGCTTGCTCCACCAGCAGCTCTTGGAATTGGGAAAGATCCGAAAAGACCGACGTCAGAAGAGGCCGTCGACAGCCAAGTGCACCGGGAAACAGCAGGGCACCGATGTGATTAGGTGGTGGCGGGTGACCGCGTTCAAGATGGCGACGCGCATGCGCCGCGCACTATTTTCTTCGAGTCGCGTTTCTCGATAAGTTCGGTTTAGCGCATGGTTAGCTGATTCTCTACTCCGGCTATCCCTACTTCACGTGCCAGGTTCACACTTTGTCTCCGTCGCCCTCGCTCTAACTCGGAGTTTCTTTCTCTAGTCGTCTGCCTTTGTCGCACCTCTTGTTAGAAGGCGTACGAGAAAGATGGCACATTAACCGCCGGAGGAGTGGAGTGGGGTGGGAGGTTGGGTACGAGTCCAGCTAACCTAGCGCGGAATAGATCTCTGGTTCTCCCTACCGCAGAGATGTGGCGCCACCGGCGAGCGGGCTGGTAGACGCCGATTGGTCCCCGGTCTCGGAGTGGGGGTCCAAGGGGCGTAGGAGCCGCGTCACGAAGCGAGAACGAGAAACGGAGCGATGTATCAATGCGCAATCGCACCGGAACGTTTCTCGAGTCGAGGTCCAAGCGCGGAATAAACAGAGTCGAGAGACTAGAGAGAGAGAGAGAACGACGCGAGCAGAGAGGCGATCATGATGCTCGGTGGAAACGGCAAGCGGCCAGGGGCACAGGGCTGAGGGCTGAGGGCTCGCAAGAGCTCGTTTAGCGCGTTCCACACGCGTCGCGCGAAGGTTCAGCGATGGAACAGGTTAAACCGCCTTCCTCGAGACTACTCAGCACGTCCTGCATCGAGAACAAGGACGAGTTGGAAGAGGTAACATAAATATTTGAAATACTCGCTGGATACGTATCGAATGTGATGTCCGCCATTGTTGCGACGGACGAACGGCAGCCAGGGGCGCCACTGCCGTGTGACATCGCTATTCGCGCTAAATTTGAAATTATTCGCGATGTATCAATTGTCATGAGCTTAGTGTTCAGAAAAATCAGGACTTTTATACGTTAGAAATGATCGTCTTTATGTTCCAGCTGTTGCGATCTTTTGATGACATTTAGATTTGCTTCTTTGTGCGCGATGTGTATTGAAATGTTACTATATTTGCAAATGCAACGATCGTTTACTTCTTTGTAGAAATTCGAGAGATGTTACACGGTGCTTCAGAACCTGACTGCAGGACTGTCGGAAAAGGAAGCTCACGATACCTTGAATAATGCCGTATGCAAGGACAAGACGCACGAAGAAGTTTCACTGGGATTACTGGTGGTCATCCTCACCGATCCACAGGAAGCCGCTAAAAGTTATAGGGACTTAACATTGATTACCCGAGATGGCCTTGCTATTGTGTTAGGTCATCTTAATCAACTGGTACTCGAAAGGTACCTGAGGTTGCACGACGTGGCCAGGAGTCAACTACTTTGGCTGCTCAGAGAAATGATAAGGACCAGTGTTGGCAACGTCGATAACCTGTGTTTAACTTTGCTGAGGCATGCAGCTGGTGGTGATATTTCCCAGAGGAATTTGTTCCTCGTCGACGCCTTGTTAGATATATTTCAGGAGAACAGACCATGGTTGGACAAGTTTCCTTTTCTGGTTGCTTCTATCGTGTACACGTACTTACGACTGATAGAGGATCACAGTGCACCGCATCTGTCCACGCTCCGGCAAAAGGAAGTAGCTTTCATGGTATCCTTAATACGAGAGAGAATAGTCGACTGTTTAGTTATTGGCAGGTGAGCAAGTGAACATTTAGAGTAATTATTGTTCGTGTTAGCGCGATGATTACATTTAACGTGTTTAGTGTCAAAGTTTTCAAACTGAAACGTGCACCACTTATTTCAGGGACTTAGTACGCTTGCTCCAAAACATAGCAAGAATTCCAGAGTTCGAAGCACTTTGGAAGGATATTCTTCTCAACCCAAAGTCTCTCTGCCCTACGTTCACCGGAGTGCTCCAATTATTACAGACGAGAACTTCTCGGAGGTTTCTCCAATCGAGACTCACTCCGGACATGGAGAGGAAACTCGTGTTCCTAACCAGTCAAGTGCGCTTCGGTAACCATAAAAGGTACCAAGATTGGTTCCAGAGACAGTACCTAGCAACTCCCGAGTCTCAGTCTCTAAGATGCGACCTCATACGCTTCATCGTTGGAGTGATACATCCAACGAACGAACTTCTCTGTTCGGATATTATACCACGATGGGCTGTGATAGGCTGGCTGTTCACCACGTGTACGTCGACCGTGGCTGCTAGTAATGCCAAACTAGCCCTATTTTATGATTGGCTTTTTTTTGAACCCGAGAAGGATAACATCATGAACATCGAACCAGCGATTCTTGTGATGCACAACTCTATGAGATCACACCCTGCAGTCACTGCCACTCTTTTAGACTTTCTTTGCAGGGTAAGCTAAATTTTCGTTTAATTCTACAACTATTCCATCTCAAAGAACGATTTTATTTATAATGTATTTGTAATTTGCAATTGTTTCTCTAATAGATAATACCTAATTTCTACCCGGCCCTGACGGAGAAAGTTCGAAACGGTATTTTTTCTTCTCTGAGACAAATTCTAGAAAAGAGAGTCTTAGCCACTCTGTATCCTCTATTTGACAGTCCCAAACTAGACAGAGAATTGAGATGTAAAATACGAGAGACGTTCAAAGAGTTTTGCTTACCACCCAACTCGGATCCTGGTAAGTTAGGATATAAATTCTTTTAAAGCATGCCAACAGGAATTAGTAATACACATAATTTTCTGCTGCACTAAAAAATGGCTTGATTAGATCTGAACGGTTATATCAAAATACAGTCGAAACGGATTATGTCTTTAGAAAGAACAGTAGATTCGATCGAAAGGATTTTCGTTTTAGCTTGGCACTTTCTCTCCTCATTTTTAACTACTAACATCAAATGGTTACATTATCATGGCATTTACGTCGCAACATGTAATCTCCTCAGTGTTCCCCCTATATTCTCGCAGCACACGATAGAAATCTCATCATCTCTTGGCACATTCAATGCTTACTAACTTTGGTTTTTGCATGATGTCTTTAAGCAGGTAATAAGCTTCCGATATATTCAGGTAAAATGGAAGATCTTAATAAAGACATCGGTCCAGGGCTCATGTTGGAGAATACAGGGAACTCAGCGATAGAAAACAACCACGTGGGTCAAGAACAAGAACCAGCATTTAGCGACGAAGAAGAGGAAACTCCATTAAGGTACACTTTCAATCATTGCCACGTCGTTGAATGAGAATCCATCAAATTGGACGTGTGTCGTGTACGCATGCGTGCGGGTATGTGTAAGCTCTATTCATCATTCAAATGGTTTCGTTAACGACTTCTCATAACGTTTCAGGATAGTAACTAAAACTGAAGAAGAAGAGGATGACGAGGAAGATGTTCCGTTAGCCACGGTGAAGTTGAAAAATGAACAAAGGAACTCGAATTGTGTTGTAAAGAAAGAGGAAGTTACTTCACAGCTGAATTTCATGCTCGAGCCCGAAGAGTTGCGAACTGCAATGGAGAGTCTTCATCTCGAATCCGACAACGAGGCTAGATGTCAAACGATGGAAAGGATAGTGCAGATGGTCGTCGAAGACGAGATAGACGCGGAAACAATACCGGCCTTGGCTTCCTGCATTTCCACTATTCTTTCCCCGCAAATCACTGCGCAGATATTTCCCTCGGACAACCTAAATGAAGAGGCACTCGCCGACAGCATCAGCACGCCTATCTTCGTCATGTTCCGAAATCAGTTTCAATTATGTAAGGAAGAAGACAACAGGAGAAAGCTGTTAGCACGGGTACTCGCTGAATTGCAATCTATTCAACCACGAATAGGCTACTTGCTTCTATACTTCTTAAAAGTTTGGGGAAGAGAAGAACAGAAAAGAGAAGGGGAACCAAGGTCAGTGAAGCCGTAAAGATACTAATTTACTTTAGTTATAATTGTTAACAAATGAATTATAATTTATTACAACAAAAATGGGTGCGCTTAAGCTCTCATTTGCGATTTCGATTTTGTCGCCGGACTAGTCGCTTGTCTGATACTTGTACGAAATAACGAAATACGCGGTAATCTGATTGGTGGGGGGGCAGTCTACCCCCGACCTTATATTCTTTAACTTCACAATGAATACTATATTGTAAATGTAATCCGCTACTAATAATTAGAAAATTATTTAGTTACAACACTGCTGCTTATAATTCAAGATGTATATTGTTTGGAAAAGTGTTTTCAATGCAAATGTGCCTGATGCTATTGAAAGTGAAACGTGTCATACTTAAAGAGCTAGCATCTTTCATGAACCTTTTTTATTCTTTCTAGTAATATTTTAAACGACGTAAAAGCATCGGTGTACAAAGACGTTTGCACGCAGCGAGAAAAAAAATTGGACGCGTGTCTCGTGCAGGATTTAAAGGTATATTCGGTTCTATTCTGTTTAATTCCCAGATATCAAATAGTATGACATATAACAAAAGGATCTTAATTTCAGCTTTGTCACGAGGATGATATCTTCATGTTATGCTACCTGGTACCTGACGTCTACACGGAATTTCAAAATATAGCCTTGGGTAACGTACAGCTCTTGCACCTTGTCGTGTCAACGGTGGATGCGTGTCAATTGCAAGAATTGGTCTGCCAAATAATGCAAGGCCACTTGAAGATGCTAAAGAAGGAGTCTTTCACCGCTCTCTTAACTGCCAGTCTTAATTGGGAGACTTTCGAGCAATACTGCTTCTGGCAGCTAATCTTCGCTCACGACTTCCCAATCGATTACGTGTTACCAGTTCTGCCGAAGCTGCAATTTCGTGACCACGCAGAAGCTCTCACCTCGATACTTTTCATGCTTAAACAGGAGAAGTCAGTATTTCTTGCTAACCCCGCTACCGATGCTACCCAAAGATCGTGTTTCTTTTACACAGTTTTTCATATTTCCAGGCCCACCCCGGAACTCTTGAAGCAATTACTCGCTCGACAGAGCGCGGACGGTGATATGTTCGTAGTTGCGGCATTACGGTATTGGTGTCGCGACTACGAGGAGAAACTCGCTGAACTTCTGGCAAACTTGTTAAGTGCCCGTTATCCTGCAACTAGTCCGAACAAGCGGAAGCGAACCGGGGCGAAACACAACCAAACCGGACCACCCTCTGGGGAACAAGTCCTCGGACATTTGGACCAGCTGCGCCAGCACTGTAACTCGACGACGGAGTTGCAATTGTATCACTCGGAAGTGATGCAGCGGGCGTTGCAACAGGCCCAGGCGGCGAGTAGCGATTCCCTAAGGAAAAGTTACGGCGACCTCTTCGCCCTGGCCGAGGTAAACGAGGAGAACGAACCTCCGCCACCACCGCCGTCGACAACTGCGAGGAAACACGCGGCTGCATCCGCTGCGGGAGGTGGCGGAGCTGGGAAAGGAGGCCACAGGAAAGCTGGAGCTAACACGAGGGAGAGGTCTACTACGAAGAGGCCACCTCCACGGGATAGGAACACGGAGAGTAGCGACCAAAGTAGCGAGGTGGGTATTTTTGTTATGCCTATCGAAGATGAACTAACGTTACACATATTGAAAATCATTTCAACGTTCAATATGTCTATTTCTCCGCGTAGAAGACGTATAAGTAACTTTCGTTTGTAAGACTTGTTCTCGTATGAATATTTGAAATGAATTTGGCCCAAATCGAGAAATACTTATTTATCATAACTGGTTCTTCATCGGTCATTGTCACCGTTGACATTTGTAATTATTTACGTCGTTGGCGTTATTTTTATGCATGCCTTTGAGAATTCCTGCTTGACGTATTACTTTCGTGATCGAATAATGTTACAATGAAATTGAATGTAACGATGATATCGTAGGAGGAAGAGATCGTAAAACCAAAGCAAGCGAAGAAGAGAAAAAAGATAAATCCCGTCGACTCGGACAGCGACTGACCACCCAGTGTCTTCATACGTCACATGGACCACGTCACGTGTGTGCAGCAAATTAAGCTAGCCTTAAGGATACTAAGATAATATAATATAATATAAAGATTAGGTACACGCAAATGCGAATATAGATAGGTGACGAGCTGTAAATGAAACGCGAGAAATTCGCGGGGTGAAAGATAACTCCTCTCGGCAACAGGTGTTCTAACAAATCTGTGACGTTTACGGGTGTAAGCCTTTCGTTAATGTTTAGCCTTGTTCTAACTACAGTCGTTTTAACGACGGACAATTTAATAACACGTTTTGCGAGAGAATGCACGCGGAAAGTGTAGGGATTGATCGAGAGTCAGATTGCGATCCAAGCAACCGCTGTGTTTAAGTTTCAACCAATGATCAATTTCTCTTTTTTTTTCTCCCTCCGACTTTCAGCGGTGAACGGGGAAACGCGTTAACGTCTCGACGCGTTATTAACGAATCCGAATCCTCGTTATGTTGCCATACCTGTAAATATAGTATCTACGAATGATAGCTAATTTTTATTAGAACTAAGTACTTTCCGCTGCAGGAGTATCGTGATGCTTCGCGGTGAAAAGCGTGCAGTTTTACAACCAAATGTATTCCGTTTGTTACGTCAGCTTAGGGGAGCACAATCATTTAGTAATTTTATGAGCCTTATTGTTTAACTCGGCAGCGAGTCGTCCACGTCGGACCGATAAATATGTATGTTTACCTGTCTTACCGACATTTTAGGGACTCTCCCTTTGAACCATTCGACATCTAGGGTCAGAGTCGAATTTGACGGAGTTGCTTGAATGCTAACAATAACTTTTTCATTTTATTAAAACACTCTCTTCGGAATGAGATAATCTCGGTCCGATGGACCACTCGTCGTTTGCGGAGGACCTTCTCTGTAATCTAAGTCGACTAATGAGCGTCACTAGCTACACTCAGAATGTACATTTCCTGTAAAATCAATTGCATTAGATTAGGTAGTTGAGTTATGTATTTTCTAGACTGTACATACGGGAAAAGAGACGAAAGAGGACATACGTTTAGTCGGTCTTACGTATGGGAGTCGCTCTGATATCGCGTGAAATCGATTTTATGATGATCGATTGGAGAGGCAGAAAGAGACGCGGATCAGCGATGGGAAGAGTGTCATTTAATCACGATTGCAATTGAGGATGTAACTCCTAATTCTTGTAATATTTTTGAACCGTTTTCTGTGAGTAAATCAATTAGCAGATGTGTAGTTTGAATGAGATTTATTCACGAAAGCATTGAAAATAATAGGAGAACTATGGTATGATTACTTAATTATGATTGTTATTAAATTGCAATTTTTTACATATCCGAGGTATAGTGCGTACCATTCGTACGTACTATGGAGCTGATGACGCGAATGTCGCATGTGAACGCAAACGGTATGAATGGCTGAGTCGTCGATCGGGCGCGGCGTTTTACGAATAAGCTGTACAATTTATTCATAAATTTTGCGTACGAACGATTGGTAATAGCAGGGCCAGCGTTATTACGGACTTTTCTACGTGTAAATAGGTGTCGAGTTTAATCGAAGGGAATGTTTAAAACGAACGCCAGTGGCTTAGCTTGAACTTGAGCCGGTTGTGCGGAAAACAAAGTGTAAACATTTAATGTTTTTAACGATCTTGTACACACGAAATACATGTAAATACATTCGTAGGATAATCGTAATGCGGATATAAACATTTAATGTTTTTAACGATCTTGTACACACGGATAAACGTAAATGTAAATACATAGAGATTACCGAAAATTGGGAGAAACACCGCACACCTTCTCGCTTCAGACCTCTTTTCGCATTTTTGTGCGAAATGTAAGTGAGGAGATAAAAGAATTGACATCTTTTTACAAGTACTTTTATTCTTATTTCAATGGGGTACAGGATGCTTTAAATGCCATCGTTCTAATCGAGGGGGGTTACTCGACGATGCCAAGTATTAAACAAGAGCTTGGACACGAACCTTTTTTATCCTATTTATCAGTCGATTTGTGAACCGTCGGCGTGGCTACAGTTCTAAATCCAGTAAGTTACGTCAGAAACGAAGAGAAATTCCCGGT